ATACACGGACAACTGTCCAGTACAACCACTTTCACATCATCTCTGTTTATTGCAGGGCGGTGCTTAACCTTTTATACATAGAAAAACAATAGAGTACACGTCACTATTACGTATATACAGTCACATTCTAAAAGGCACATTTTGCTTGGCTGAAATATAGGAGAAATGTAGAAACTTGTTGCTTGCTTCTCATCCCGTTATCTCTGTTTCACTCCCCTTCACATTCCCAAAGTCTAAGTAAAGGGTCCTCTCATATAGGGATTGCAGTGCTCGTATAGGGATTGCAGTGTTAGTATAGGGATTGCAGTGTTTGTATAGGGATTGCAGTGATTGTATAGGGATTGCAATGCTCGTATAGGGATTGCAGTGTTCGTATAGGGATTGCAGTGTTCGTATAGGGATTGCAGTGTTCGTATAGGGATTGCAGTGTTCATATAGGGATTGCAGTGATCGTATAGGGATTGCAGTGCTCGTACAGGGATTGCAGTGTTATATAGGGATTGCAGTGTTCGTATAGGGATTGCAGTGTTGTATAGGGATTGTAGTGCTCGTACAGGGATTGCAGTGTTAGTATAGGGATTGCAGTGTTCGTATAGGGATTGCAGTGTTCGTATAGGGATTGCAATGCTCGTATAGGGATTGCAGTGTTCGTATAGGGATTGCAGTGTTCGTATAGGGATTGCAGTGTTCATATAGGGATTGCAGTGCTCGTATAGGGATTGCAGTGTCGTATAGGGATTGCAGTGTTCGTATAGGGATTGCAGTGTTCGTATAGGGATTGCAGTGTTTGTATAGGGATTGCAGTGCTCGTATAGGGATTGCAGTGCCCGTATAGGGAATGGGAATAAAGATATACATGCCACCATTTTTTTCCATATAGTAAGATGGCGGATTCGATTTCCTGCCCTTGATGTGGGACAGAATATAAGGAACCACCTCTCAGACATCTTGATCCCTTGTGAAAAAGTCCAGGAAGTGACGAAACATGTCGGGACACATGACGTCTGAAGCACTCACGCAAAACCGGAAGTGTGGTGGTGGCCATTTTGGAAGTGGGAACATGCGGTTCTCTATACATAGGACTACACCTGAGCTGTTCTGAATGCTGGAAGCTGATATTCTTCAATTGTAATGTAAGATATTCAATAAATATTGACTTCTGTTACTATATAGCGCTGATTGTCTCCTATCTCACCTGATGAGGAATATGGAAGAGTGCCAACAGGAACATTAGGAAGCCTGGAGAGTGCGACTATCCCCTGAAAGCCTGGGATTTATTTCCAGAGGGGAATGATCCATTGTTGCACCAGTTGGAGGAGAGCACTTTATTGTTCACTATTATTGAGTTTGTAGAGCTCACTATTAGAGATTTGGGTTATTCTCCATTCTCACTATTTGGAGGTGATCACGTTTCATCGTTTGGACTTGGAATGGTCACTCTTCTGATTCTTGTCACGAGTGTATTTACATATTCAGAGATTGATATATTGGTAGAGGAATTGTTTTTTCACGTGTGAGCTCACGGTATGCAGTTGGCATGATACACGGTTCTTTCACTATTTTACATGTATGTTCAGTATAAAGGTAATACACTATCAGAAGTTTATTTTTTTGAGGTTCATGAAGAATTTTGGAATTTCCATACTGGATGATTAAAGATGATACGAGTTTGCTTTGGAATTTGGAAAGACATCTTTACAGAGACATTTTGGACATTTATTTTTTGGGACATTTAGTTTGATATATAATTTTTTGGGATTTTTATTTTATTTTACAATTTATTTTTTTATTTTATTGTATATTGGGATAGATTCATCTATGTTTAAAGAAGAGTTTAGTTACATGTTCATTTATGTACCGTATTGCATGACCGCGCAATTGTCAGTAACACTAGTGCAGTGCTGTATAGTAAAAAAATGGTGTAAATTCCATTATCTCTCCCATAGTTTGTAGACGCTATAACTATCACACAAAGCAATCAATATACACTTATTGGGATTTTTTTTACCAAAAACATGGAGCAGAATACATTTTGGCCTAAATTTATAACTAACTTTGAGTTTACTATATATTTTTTATAGCCAAAAGTAAAAAATATTGTTTTTTTTTCAAAATTTTTGGTCTTTTTTTGTTTATAGCGCAAAAAATAAAAAGCGCACAGGTGATCAAATACCTCCGAAAGAAAGCTCTATTTGTGTGAAAAAAAGGACATAAATTTCGTTGGGTGCAGCATTGCATGACCCCGCGCAATTATCAGTTGAATTAGTGCAGCGCCGAAAGCAAAAAGAGGTAGTGGTCAAGAAGGGGGGTAAATCCTCAGGAGGGAGGGGTTAAACTCCTCCAGTATCAATTGGTGACAGGCGCTCCCAGGTCCTAGGCCTGGGTTGCCGGTCGCGCCTTTATAAATAGTGGCCTGCCGGTGCCCATCATTGGTGACAGGCCAGCTTCCACGGGTCCTAAATGCCTGCAATGGTGCCGTCATTGGTGACAGCGCCCGGGTCCTAACCTGCTCGGTGCCAGGGAATTAGTGACAGGCTTCGCCCACTATAGAAGTTCCTAGTGCAGCCAGCCCTCTCTATATAGGCGCGCACATGGGTCCTAGTTACTTTGGGAAAGATTTTGTCCCCTTTATAAATTTCTATTGGCCCCACATTGGCCTTGGGTCACCAATTGGTGACCAGTGGGTACTATGCCAGTGCATTAAAGGCGTCCCTAACAATGATGAAACAATGGCTGTGAGATGACAGAGCTGAATTCTTTAAGGCCCCGTGGGTGTCTGCCATCCGGTCCAGGGGCTTTATTCACCTTTATTCTGTACAAATATTTCTGGATCATATCAATTGTGAGCCAATGTGGATCATCTGGGGGGTGTCAGTACCACCCCCATTATGGACAAGAGCCCCCCCCATGCTCCTTTGTATACACAGAGCTGAAGAAGGGATTTCATACATTGTCCTTCTCTTTGTCCCCCCCCCTCTAGATGGTTCTGTAAAGGGCCTACATGCTGGGACCGGACCTTTCTACTATTCATATATTGGAGGAATGTTTTGGGGTCGTCCTGATATCTTTCTGTCGTTTGTTTTCAGTTTTTGCTGCCTTTATTTCCTTTTTGCATCTTCTGTTCTATTCTTTGTAATGTGTAAACGATGATCGCGTTCCTTCATTGTTATATTTAATAAAAGCTCTTTTCTTATTATCTATCGCTTTTGTAACTTTGGCCGTAAGCCACATAGGTTGGATTTGTAGCCTTTTATACTTGTTGCCCATGGGAATATATTTTGCAGTGTGGTCACATACAGTCTTTTTGAAGAACTCCCATTTCTGTGTTGTGTTCATGGATGCCAATATTCCCTCCCAGTCTAAGTCTTGGAGAGCAGCTCTCAGCCTTGGAAAATTAGCTCTCTTAAAAGTTGAGCATTTTTATTTTTCCCGTATGTGCTTACTGTTTACAGCTAACAATAAATGAAATCATGTTATGGTCACTGCTACCCAGATGTTCTTTTATATGGACATTCGTAATAAGCTCTGCATGGTTGGAGATGACCAGGTCCAGCAGAGCATCATTCCTAGTTGGGGCCTCTATGAACTGGACCATAAAATTGTCCTGTAGTAGGTTTATACATTTTTTTACCCTTTAACTGTTCTTGCAGTACCATTACTCCAGTCAATTTCCGGGTAGTTACCATCCCCCATTATTATCACTGTCCCAGCCCTTTCCATCTGTGGGAGGAGCTGAGTCTCCACCTCCTCATTAACACTGGGAGGCCTATAACAAACTCCAATGATGACCTTTGTAGTACCGCCCCCCCCATGTGCAGTTCCACCCATAATACTTCAGCCTCATCACACTCTCCATCAACTAGGTCCTCTTTCACACTCGCTCTGAGATCACTTCTCACATAGAGACCAGACAGACACCACCACCTTTCCTATTTCCCCCGTCTCTCCGAAAGAGAACCTAGCCAGGAATATGAATGGCCCAGTCATGTGAGGAATGAAGCCAAGATTCAGCAATACCAATTCAATCCTAGTTCTCTTCATGCACCAAACCTTCCAACTCACCTATTGTGATGGGCACACTTCTGGTATTGGGGAACAAACACTTTCATTCACTGACACCTTGTTCATTTCACAGACTACATTGTTCATTCGCCTTGACTAATTCACACCTTGTTTCCATTCGCTGACACCTTGTTCACATGGAATTTTTTGTATTTTTTATTTGCATACAAATGGTACCAATTGCACTGGTTGTTTGTAACATGGGAACCTTCTTATCATCTGCCATAGCCCTCCCCCCATCTTTCCCATTCCACCCCCCAATAAGTACTGACCCATCTGATCTGTCTACCCCGTTATAATACCTGATGTACAGGAAAACAGGACTTCAGTGAGGAACATTTCCCTCAGGACAGGAAAGTGGCTTCTCCCCAGTGTGAGATCTCTGATGTCTGTTAATATGGGACTTAACTGAAAAACATTTCCCACACTATAGGACAGGAATACGGCTTCTCTCCCGTGTGAGATCTCTGATGTGTGTAAAGACTGGACTTCACTGAAAAACATTTCCCACACTCAGGACAAGAATATGGCTTCTCCCCAGTGTGAGATCTCTGATGTGTATTAAAATAGGACTTAACTGAAAAACATTTCCCACACTCAGGACAGGAATACGGCTTCTCTCCCGTGTGAGTTCTCTGATGTGTGTAAAGACTGGACTTCACTGAAAAACATTTCCCACACTCAGTGGACTTCAATGAAAAACATTTCCCACACTCAGGACAGGAAATGTGGCTTCTCCCCTGTGTGAGATCTCTGATGATGTTCAAGTTTGGACTTCAGTGAAAAACATTTCCCGCACTCAGACAAGAATACGGCTTCTCCCCTGTGTGAGATCTCTGATGTCTTTTAAAATGGGACTTATCTGAAAAACATTTCCCACACTCAGGGCAGGAATATGGCTTCTCTGCATGTGAGATCTCTGATGTGTGTAAAGATTGGACTTATCTGAAAAACATTCCCACACTCAGGACAGGAATACGGCTTTCCCCTGTGTGAGATCTTTGATGTGTGTAAAGATTGTCTGAAAAAACATTTCCCCACTCAGGACAGGAATATGGTTTCCCCCCTGTATGAAATCTTTTATGCCCTTTAGCCCGATTTAGACTGGAAACCTTTTCCCGATTCAGTAAGGAGAACCTCTTCCCTGTGGGGCCGGCCCACCCCCCGGGTTGGGATAGGAGGGGAAAGGCCCTCCAACTCATTTACCAAAATACCCCCTCCACCTTATAATACCCACTTTCCCCCTTTAAAAAAATACCCATTCCCCCCCTCCCCCTCATTAACCCTATCAAACAAAAAATTACCCTATTTTCCCCCAAACCCCCCCCACCACTTTTCCCTTAATTTTTTTTTTCCCCCCCCAAAAAAAAAATCTCCTTTCCCCCCATTTTTTTATTCTCCTATCAAAAAACCCAAAAAAACCAAAACAAAAAAACCCCCCCCCCCTTACACCCACCCCCCTTTTCCCCAAAAAAATACCCCCCCCATTTTCCATTTTTTTCAAAACCCTTTTTTTTAAAGGGTAAAGATTTTTGGGGGGGGGGGAAAAAAATAAGGGTGGCTATTAAAGACCCCTCTTGGGATTTCTCCCTTTTCCTTTTTTAAGGGGGCCAAATTAGGATTTATAATTTTTCACCATGTAAAAGTGTTTTTTCCTCCCAAAAAAGTGTGGGGGGAATGGGTTTTTCAAAAGTCCCCTTTTTGTTTATTGCGGGGGGGGGGGGAAAGGGGTTTGGGGGAATTCCCTTTTGGGTTTTGTGGGGGTCAAAAATATTTCCCCTGAATTGGCGGGGTAAACCAAATTGGTTAAATTTAAAAAAATTTTTTTTACAATTCCTCCCCAATCCCCCATTTGAACCCCAATGGGTTAATTTACAGAATCCTAGGAAAAAAAAGAAGGCCCGGGAAATGTTTTTTAGAGATTTGCCCGGTCAAGGGCTTTTGGGGAACTCCTTTTTTGGAGCTACCCCGAACCCCAAAATTTTTAAAAATAAAGTTCCCCAAAAAAAAATTTGGAAATCCAAAAAGGGGGGAAAAGGGAAACAGGGGATTCGGTTTAGGGGGAATCTGGCCCCTGTGGGTTGGTGGGGGTGGTTTTTTTTTTGGCCCCCTTTGATTTGTGGGTCCCCCCTTTAAAATTTTCCCTTTTCCCCTCCCCCCAAACGGGCATCCCTCAATAGTTTTTTTTTGCCCAAACCCAAATTTTTTATATTGGTTCCCCTTCAAAAAAGGGGGGAAAATTCATCTGAAAAAAATGGTTAAACCAAAGGGGCCCCATGAAATTTTCTAGTTTCCCCCCAAAAGTTAGGGAGGGGGGGATTTTGGGGGGAAACCCCAATCCCCCCAAAGGGGGAAAATTCCGGTGGGTTTTGGAAAGGGGGGGTTCATTTCCTTTTTGCCCTTTTGAAAATTCCCTCCTCCATAATTTTCCTCCTTTTTTCTCTTTTTTCAAATTTTTCCCCAATTCCCTCTTTTAATAAAAAATTATTTTTAAAAAACTCTTTAAAATACAAAAAAATTTATCATCTTATAGGTAATTACCCCTTGTGGATCCCGGGAAATTTTAGGGGGGGCATCCCTTGGGGTTTTGGGGTGGTTCCCCCCCGGGTTCCCGGTGATTTTGGAGAAAGTTGCCCCCCTCCCCCTTTCCTCCTTTTTTTTCCCCTTTTCCCTTTGGTCCTCGGTTTCCTCTCGAATATATAAAAATTCAATTAAAACTTTTTGACAACCTAATGTACTTTTGGATTTTTCCCCCATTATATATGGGAGGGGTTTTGGTTCCCAATCCGGGGAAAAACCCAAAAAAACTCTTGGTGGGGGGTTTTTGGCCTCTGGGAAAAAACCCAAGAAGAACCCGCATTTTTTGTTTGGGGGATCGGGCCCCCATGTTCCTTTAAAAAATTCTTTGGTTTTTGGGGGGTTTGTCCTCATCTCCTTGGGAAAACCTTTTTCCTTTTTTATTTACTCACTTGGAATAAAAGTCATTGATATAGAAGAGGGGGACGATAGGAGG